GACTTTTTCTTCAATGTTGTCAAGAGGTTGCCGAACAACACCCAGAAATTAAATATGATGAAATGTACTTAGATACAGTGTGTTTAAAAGTAAGCAAACATTAACAAAATAACATTTTATTATTTGCTGGAACTTTATAAATTTCAACATTGTACTCTGTTCATCAATTGATTTAAATATGTCCCATTTTTTCTCTGTGGCTCTTTCACCCGAAACTGTTGTGTTTTTGTATTAGATGGTTCAAGACCCATCTCACTTCGATGTATTGGTCATGCCCAATCTCTATGGAGATATATTAAGGTAAGGATTTAAATGAACTGGTTTCTCGTAGTTAACGTTTACTAGTCGTAAAGGTCGTGGTAAAATAAACCTTAACCTGACCTTATCTTGTCATCAATCACTATGTTTTGTGATAAATACTAGTTTTGCTTCTACAGAAGCTAGGCATTTTTATGACCATCTCAGCATCTGTTGTTTTGATTATGTCTGATAGATGGAGCTGTAATCGTAGTCATTTTCTCTTTAAAATGATAACTTTTGCACAAACGGTATAATTTGACATTGTTATATTAGAACTTTGTTGGCATGTACATCTACATGTACAATAAATAAATCGTAGGTTATATTATATGTATGTATATATTATTTTTTTATTGGATAGTGATCTTTGTGCTGGACTAGTTGGAGGACTAGGAGTGACACCTAGTGGAAATATTGGTGAAGAAGGAGCCATATTTGAATCTGTAAGTGTTTCTACTAAAGGTTATCATTCTGGACAGACAGTTAATAAAAATTTTGAAAATATTATAAACTGTGAAAGATGACTAGTAAAGTTTCAAGTGCTTTTTTATAATATGTTAATACAATGTTTCACAATACACCCATCTTGTTTTACATTCTACACAGTTAATACAATGTTTCACAATACACCCATCTTGTTTTACATTCTACATAGTTAATACAATGTTTCACAATACACCCATCTTGTTTTACATTCTACACAGTTAATACAATGTTTCACAATACACCCATCTAGTTTTACATTCTACACAGTTAATACAATGTTTCACAATACACCCATCTTGTTTTACATTCTACATAGTTAATACAATACACCCATCTAGTTTTACATTCTACACAGTTAATACAATACACCCATCTTGTTTTACATTCTACACAGTTAATACAATGTTTCACAATACAACCATCTTGTTTTACATTCCACACAGTTAATTCAATGTTTCACAATACACCCATCTTGTTTTACATTCTACACAGTTAAGTTAATACAATACACCCATCTTGTTTTACATTCTACACAATTAAGTTAATACAATACACCCATCTTGTTTTACATTCTACACAGTTAATACAATGTTTCACAATACACCCATCTTGTTTTACATTCCACACAGTTAAGTTAATACAATACACCCATCTTGTTTTACATTCTACACAGTTAAGTTAATACAATACAACCATCTTGTTTTACATTCTACACAGTTAAGTTAATACAATACAGCCATCTTGTTTTACATTCTACACAGTTAAGTTAATACAATACACCCATCTTGTTTTACATTCTACACAGTTAAGTTAATACAATACAACCATCTTGTTTTACATTCTACACAGTTAAGTTAATACAATACACCCATCTTGTTTTACATTCTACATAGTTAAGTTAATACAATACAACCATCTTGTCTTTCTTGTCTTTATTTGTATTCATGTTTGTTAAGTGAGTTTCAAGGTACTTATGGTTTGTTTTCGTACAGGTTCACGGAACAGCTCCAGACATTGCCGGACAAGACAAGGCAAATCCCACAGCTCTTCTCTTGAGCTCTATCATGATGCTGAGATATATGGGCTTCACAAGCCATGCTGATAAAATTGAAAATGCATGTTTTGATACTATCAGGGAGGGAAAGGTATTTCTTTTAGTGAAAATTGTGAGATAATGTTTTTATAGTTGTGATTCCTTTTAAGTTTTAAAACTACTCTTGAAAACAAAAAGTAAAATTCAAATATTATTTTATAAAAGTTTTTTATATATATCGTTATGGTAAAACCAGACAAATCTGATTTAAGATAATTTCTTAGTTGTGCTTAAAAGTAAAGGTTAGAAATAATTATGTTCGTATTGAAACAAGCGTAACTTAATAGAGGTGTTTTTTATACATAAATTAAAATAAACACTAGATATAAAAATTTATTAGTAACAATGTTTTAAATCCTTTATTTTTCCTCAGGTTCGAACAGCAGACTTGGGTGGGACAGCCAAGTGTTCACAATTTACAGAAGAAATTTGTCTCAAGATACAGAATTCATGATGAATCATTAAATATTTTCTCTAGCTGTGTTCTTTTTTTTATTTATTTATTTAAAATAGTAGCCTGAATTTGAAAGCAGAAGTTAGCTGTAGAGTAGAACATTTTAAAACTAGTATTCGGAATACTTCTTCAAGGAAGTTAATGGTGTATTATCTTCCTTATGTTTGGTTGTTTATCGATACGTAAATTTGAAGGTTTGTACTTCTAACAAATAAATAAATTTTTAATAGTTTTATGAAGATTAAGATACACTAGTGACCTCTGAAGATCTTTACCTTCAAATACAGTGTAGTTTTATAGCCATACTTCATATGTATTCAGTATTTTCATTGAAATAATACTTTTTCTTTTAAAAGGCAATGTCAAATGTAACCTAAAGTTACAATATTTGATTTTTATTCTTTATGTACATCATACAGTAGTTTGTTAGATTCACATTGGTAAAAAAAAAACATTATTTATATGCAAGATGAATATTTGAAATATTAATACTACAGATATCATGATTATAGTAGTAATGTTATTATTATAAAATAAAATGCCAAAATGTGAATATATTCAAAAAGATTTTGTTGTTTCTGTTGTATTATATTCAAGCATTAAATTGAGATATTCATGAAACGTTTCGTTGGTAACACTTCTTTGTAAATAATACAAAGTTAGTTCCAGAATCTTTATTACTTGTTGCTTTATAAGTTCTAAAACTTGTACCCCATATAGTGAAGTAAAATAAAACATTGGCCTAACTTGCTGTACGTTAACAATAACTTACTATGTTCCCCTTCATTACACTCGTTTAGATCTGATAATCAGTGAAAACACTACAACACACATAATATAAAGGATAAACAACAAACAGTTCTAAATTCTGGGATTAAAATTCTGCCGTTTTTGTTGTTGTCAGAGTTCTTTTCGTTTGCCTTTACAAACTTCAAATAAGGTAAAAATAGTATTTCAGATATGTTTTTTGTCTTTCATAAGTTACTGTCCAAGAGGACTTTCCTATAGTACTAGAACTTTCCAGACTAGCCAAACGATAAGTAGATTTTAGGCCTAACCAACAAACTAACTTATTTTAAATCTTGAACACATAGACATGTTTATAAATACAGTTGTACTGTCACATGACACTATCGTAATTAGTTCAGTTAATGGACAAGAATCGGGTATAATTTTTTGTGGCTTTACCGTAAGTATTTTCTGTTAATTTGCAATTTATATATACACACACAGACTGTTTTATGTTTGAGCTAAACTTTTCAAATAAAAGCGACACACGAAGCAAGTGGAGAAAAGAGAGTTACTTATTGATTGGTGTCTTTTTTATATATATACGATATTTAAGTTACTTGACATAAAAGCTTTATAAGAAAAGGAATATAGTTTTCAGACCTCATCAATTTCGACAACAGATCTGTAATATCTGGTAAAAAAAATGTTTTAAATGTTGAAAACGTCACGTATTCACAATTACAAAAAAAAACTCTTCAAATAAACACAGTAGGTGACACTATTTTGATGTATTATATATATATATACAATATAGTTATTTGTTATCAGCACTCCGTCCACCTTAGGAAATCGAACCTTGGATTGTAACGTATGTGCTTAAACTTACTGCTGACACCTACCGAGGGAAAGTATAATTTTTTTAAAAGATACAAAGATCATGCTTTCAGTAAAAGCTTGTTTCTGGTGACGTAAACCTTGGTAAATCGTTAGTTATGTGTGTTGAAAACGATCCATTGAATAGCCTTCGAAAACCTGAAAATGTCGAATCACGGTTTCAGATTTTACTTGTTTAAATGACGCTGTATAACTCAGATGTACGTGATCCAAATAAGTGAGCGTACATTGTAACAGTGTTTAAATTCAAACATTTTCATACCATATTGTTTTCAAATTATTTCTGTGCTGTCCCCCAATAGATCTCTGGTAAATTTACGCACTTGCAAAGCTGTATTGCGATGTTTGATTTTCTGTGGTGGACAGAGAGCAGATAACCTATTCTATAGCTTGGTGTTAAAACAAACGAAAAAAAAGTTTGTATGTTTAGAAAACGTTACGTGATGCGTAACATTTATCGGACATCTTTCGTTTAAAATTATCAAACTTCGTGACTTTTATGGTAATGTTAAAATAAAATAATTAATATGATTGTGAATAAATAACTATTTTTATTTACTTGCATGTGAATTGTAGAAAAAATTCTATTTTCTTTGTCTATCTTATAATTAGTTGTAAGTGGTGTTGGAGAGAGGGTGCTATATGCGTCAGCCTTGTTATGTAAAATATTATATTATACATATATATAGCACAATAAGTGAAGTTTGTACCTATAGTTTTTTCGGTGATTTAATCGACAGTCCGGTATCAGAAAAACAATTTGATTGTATAGCCTAAAAACTGGGTGGTTAGGCTTGAGTCCAGGAAACAACTTAATTGTGCAGGCTTAAAAGTTGGGTGGTTAGGCTTGAGTTCGAGAAAACAACTTAATTATGCAGCCTAAAACTGGATCTGGTGTTGTCTGGAAGGTGAAATATTTTGTACAAGTGGGTAATAAGTCAGTTTCAAGTGTATTTAAATCAATGTACATACCACGGACTGTTTGTTGTTGTTTTACTTGGACCACTGTAACAATACGTTAAAATTACATATAAAGATGATAAGATATTAAAGGTTTATGTTATAAACATATACATTATTGATTCATATAATGAGGAACTGTATTTAAACTATGAGAACAGTAAAAATCGTGTTAAGGTGGTATTGTATAACTTTCATTTTATCTGTTTGAATGTTTAAGTGAATATCTTAGAGTGTGGGTTTTCGACGTAAGACAGATTATATGATGAACAGAGGCAGACTAAGGAGAGGAAAAATAAGTGTAATTGTCCTCAAGCCTCCCCCCCCCTTATTAAGAACAAAAATAAAAAATCAATTGTCTCATAAAAAAAAAACAACATATGCTTATACCTGCATCACTCAGATGACAGTGAATTTAGTCGTTTTACAAAAACCTGTTATTTTGTATTTTTTTATTAACATGTTCTTCCATAAATATTCGCTGGGCCATTTAACAAACAATTCGTTATCTTTATTTTAAATATTAAAATTAGTATTTTGTGTATTATACTCATATATTGCTCACACTGTAGTTAATAAATGGTCTTTGACCTATTTATGAAGTTCCATTCAGAGGACCCTAATTTATTTTCGACCATCGAAATCTTTAATCCTGATTAAGAAGGTTTAACACAAGAATAAGCAGATAACATGAAGAAGGCCTAACATTTTTGCAACAGAAGACTAAACAGGCAATTTGAAGATGGCGTAAAATCGTGCAACACAAAATTAAACAGGCAATGTGAGAAAAGCTTAACACAATACTATTAAACAATGAGACGCCTGGTGGGACAGCGGTAAGTCTACTTTCTTACAACGCTTAAATTCGGGGTCGATTCCCCGTAGTGGACATTGCAGTGTGGCTTTGCTCTTAAAACAAATCATAAAAAATGGTACCATTTTGAGAAAAAGGTTTTGAAAAAGTATGTATTTTACTAAATCAGAGGGTAATTTAAACAAAAATACCTGCACATCAAATTTCAGTCTAAGATGTCATAAACGGGTCGATTGTGACTTGTAAATATAGAAAATAAAATACATTTTTTTAAAATATAAACATTTCTAGGAGTGTATTTGGTTACTATCCCGACTAAAGTTGTTTGTTTGTTCGTTGTTAAGCGCAAAGCTGCACAATGGACTATCTGTGTTGTGGTTACTACGACTATCAAAAGGTGTTTTTAAGCGTTGTAAGTTCAGAGACATACCACTAGGGGGAGGGTTAAGTCATTTAGCTAAAATGTAGACCACTTAATTCCTTTACCCTTACACTGATATTAAACATTTATTTTGTAAAAAATCATAAATAATATTCAACGTTAAACTGGTACACAATTAAAGACATTTTAGATAGGCCTAAATAAAATGTTTTTAATTGTGTACCAGTTTAACGTTGAATATTATTT